TCCCGTCCTATCACTATCTGCCCCTCTCTTTTTTATAAACCCTGCCACGAGTGAGAGCTGCTGGTGYCATCAGGATGGCCGTGCCCAGTCAGCAGGGACACCATGGCAGAGCATCACCATTTCCCAGTGCACATAATGGTTTATTCAGAGATCACCCCAAACACCAGCGCTTTTTCCGGTTCTGTTGGAGCAGAACACCAAAGAGCTTCACTTAAACCAGCAGAAATACACCTTGGCTGGGATTTCCAGGGGTGCTCACTGGACCTTTGTCAGGTGTCCGTGACTCCAGCCAGCAGTGGCTTCTTCCAGACATCTCGGCTCAAACATCTCCCAGGTGTCACTGCCAGCTCCGGGCAGCAAACGTGGCTCTTGGGAGGAGGCTGGAGGAGAAGGAAGGACCATGTGGGGATAAAACCACRACAGCTCAGACCACGGCAGCACCTGGGAAATACCAGCCAACAAACCTGGACATAAACCACCCTCACACAGATACTCAGACATTTGCAATTCCCACGTCTACCCCAATCATCTCCCTGCTAATGAGCCCGTTGTTTTCCCCACTGCATTCAGAGCCACGRCTATGCTGAATATTTTAAAGCCCGCAGCATAACTACAAATAGGGCAGCTATTTCTGGAGCTGGTAAATGAATCAAAAACAACTGCAAACAGAGCGTCAGTGTTTCACTGATAGCCAGGTTTAATATCCTTCCTCAGTGCACGCCACAACAGGAGCTGTATCCTGTCGGAGCAATGTCTCATTGTTACAGTGAATTAGCACGAAACAGGAGAGAACACAAATTGTTAAAGGATTAAGTACAACCTTGGTAAAAAAAATACACGAACAATGCAGCTATGAAAGAACAGCTCTGATTATCGTGTCACTAATTAAAAGAAAAAATATGTTTAATGAGAATTGAAGAAATTCTTGTTTCCTTGTTGAGTTTACCTGAGAAAGAAAACACTTTCATGGTCAATATAATGGATTTCCCTTGACCAAGCAGTGCTGTTAAAAAGCACATACTGGTAAGGAAGTACGAACCCTTCAGATTCATTTCCGTAATTAAGATACAAGTAGAGACATTAATCTCTGATATAGGTCCTGTCAATCAGAAAATACCTCAGGGAAAGCAGAGATGTTGAATCAGGCATGGCAAGTGAAGAACCTCACAGACTTCATCCTCAGCCAGAGGGGTGTATTGCTGTTGCTATAAAGTGTGAAGCTCTTTTTGGTGAGAGGAATGTGGAAGTCTTTCCAGTGATGTGGCCCCTGTTTTTATCCACGCAGACCTCACTGCAGGACTGGGGCCACAATTCCAGAGAATATTGTTCAGACACCTGGAGAGTGAGAAAAGACCTAATTTCATGGAAGCTCTGGAACTTCTCAGCATGTTAATGTACTTACAGAAATGGCACATGGATCAAAGAAGTTTTCCCTCTAATACAGCAGAGCATGATTTTTACACTCCTTCCTTCAGCCCTCAGCCTCCTGAACAATTCTGCACCACACATTAACACCTCTCTTGCCTGGTCTCACCGATGTCATTGGCAAGGAGGCATTTCAGATTCCAGCTCCCCCTGGATCAAAGGTTTAAGGCACCAGTCAGCTGTCCTAACATGACCTGGAACCAACAACGAGCTTCCCACATGACAGCATTCCACAGGGTAACACCACTGACAATGAACACTSCTGGATCCTGTGAAACCACGCCACTGAGGGGAATCTCCCYGAAGGCAGCCTGTAATGYGGGTAAATGAAGTGTATTTTTGTCRGCAGAACTGTGYCGATGCTCAGGCTCCTSCTGGCCAGGGCAGTGTCCGAGCTCCTGCCCCTGCACCCCCTGGCTGTCTCTGCTTCTCCTGCAGCTGCTGCAGCTCTGCTCACTTTAGCCCAACCTCTGCTCGTGGGAGATCTTCGCCTTTGTCTCCCAGAGARGTAGCTAAGACAAGCACAAACACAAATCACAGACTGGTTTGGGCTRAAAGGGACCTTAAAGCTCATCCAGTGCCACCCCTGCCATGGCAGGGACACCTTYCACTGTCCCAGGCTGCTCCCAGCCCYGTCCAGCCTGGCCTTGGGCACTGCCAGGGATCCAGGGGCAGCCACAGCTCCTGAGTGTCCTGTACAYGATGGACACATCATCAGCCACCTCAGGCATGGGAAGAGTTGCTTGGGAAGTTGTCTCCATGCCCATGGAGTGTCACCTCCACTGCTCTGCCTGAGCCTTGTCTTGGCACAGAGGCAGCACAGGAGAGTACATCATTGGGGCTCAAGTGCTGCTGTTCCCAGCCCAGAGCCACMCCTCAGACTCCCTTTCATTGCCTTGTAATGCATCAGGGTTTGTTTCCCACATCCCAACAGCAGATGCTCCCTCAGCCTTCAGTGAGGGATCCACCAAAACCAAAACTTTTCCAAGAGAGCAAACCAGGCCAGTCTCCAGCACAGAGCAGCTCTGAGGTGCAGGTGGCACAGRCTGTTCAGGCACTCCTGTGATCCAYGCCCCTTCTGTCTATGCCAAATGAACCATAATGCTCCTTTTTCTACTCTTCCTCAATTTAGCACAAATGATCAGKCCCAGGCTCACCAAGCACAGGACAAGAAACTGAACTCCATCCATCCCTTTTTGGACCCTGTTTATAATTTAGGGAAAGTGAAACCCTCCCCTAACTTACATTGCTGCCAGCTCTGTGACCCTYTGATGCTCCCAATCCAATAAAACAKTCTTGTTCCATAGTAACTAAATGGAAGTTGTTGTTCTTCAGCTTCCTTCACCCCTTGCCCTTTTYGAAAAATAAATATGAATTAACTTTGATGCTTTGGTGTAAAGGTGGAACTACATGGCCTGAGAAAGGCCCTGCCCAGAGGGATCTGACAAGCTCCTCCAGACTCCAAACCCAGCTTAAGACTCTTTCACTGAAATTCCCAAATATATTTCATACCAGGCTGCTCTCAATCCCCTTAGAAAAAACAACCCAAAGCAATCCCCAACCCTCCACCCAACCAGCACATAGCAGGAACTCAGTCATTTCCACTGCAAATCTGTGATCTCAACACAGCAGAAGAGGGCCATGATCTTTGTTTTGCAATAGGTTATTTATTATTGTTTTAAATAAAAATTCAACACTTAACACTCTCTGTCCCATGCTCCTATGACACAAAACCACYAGCAGGACAGATGTCCTTAAGGAAGTGTCCCAAAGAACACAGAACACTGCACATTGTTCACTGTTCAGAGAAGCAGCACTGCCACCTACTCAGTAAAGCCAAAATGCATAATCAGGTCACCACCTCAAGGAAATATTTCTCTGGATTACAAACAACAACAGAGAGAGATCACTGAGGTCACATTTTTCTTCTGCCTTGCCTCACTGCTCAGTTATTATCCAGACTTCAGCTTGCYGGAGGACATTTTTCTGGGAGGCAGCATTCAATTATTGCAGATCACAGGCAAYACATAAACTGCTGTGAATCAAGAGCTGCTCCAAAGGGCAAGCAGAATTCCAGACCATATTCCCTGTTTTGATGGAATTGCTTAAACCAGACACTGTGAAGGGAGAGAGAGCTCATGAACAGCAACAACYRAGTCACAGGGGCAGCTGAGACACCMAAAACTGATTCTGCAGGGCTACAGAGCTCAAAAGGCATTTCTGATCTTCAGGGTCATGATCATCACCTAAAAGCTTTGACACAGTCTGTAAATTAATGTCCAGGTCTGAAAAAGCACAGAAAAAMCACTGAACATGCAGCACTCTGGCTATCTGAGTCCACACACACCCATCCATCACTTGGCCCTGAAAGCCACAAGTGCCCAAGACCACACCAACGTTTTTACCAAACACCTCCATCAAGTCAACCCCTTGAACATTTTGGAGTAACCATGTAAGCTATTCTTGTCCTTAATGACATCAACAAGAAGATACTAAAGGAAGATAGCAGATCAAACTGGCTATTGAGCTGTGACAGCATAAGAGTTCCCACAGGTGGCATCAATAGCCTTCCTTAGCCATGAAAATTCTGTCTGAACAGAAGGAAAGTGGTAGGAAAATGCTCCAACACAACAGCCAATTGCGAATGCACTGCCTTTGGGCCAAATCCTTGTTCAGAGAAGCAACAAACAAAAACAGTCCTAGAAAGGTTCTGGTTTGTGAACAAAAACTCAATCCATTATGAGAATATTTAGAATCTTCAGAAGAAAAACATAAGACAAAGCCAGTCACTTGTGACACTTTTTAATTTGTTATGGTCAGATTTTTTGAGGTAAAATCTACAGAGTAAGACAGAACTAGAGGACAGGCAGAGTCATATTTACAGCCATTCAAAACTAACAGTGTTCAAAACTAAAAGCAGAGCTCAGTTGGTGAAAGAAACATGAAAGCATACAAAGAATAGTCGGTTTTTGGTTATTATTAAATTTTATTATATTACTTTCCTAACTACTGAAAGTATCCTGTTGCATTTTTTACTGCCCAATTCCAACTCACCAGCTCCCCCTCAAAACAATTTGCAATACAAAAAGCGCCATTTTTTTCTGTTTGTAGACAACAAAACCACCTGCTTTTCTTCTTCCAAATGTTACTGAAGAGGCACAGCACAGTTAACACTAATGCTCTATTCTTTACCATTAAATAAAAAATAAAACAGTTGAGCAAAGAGAAAAGACCAGACTGAGTCGGTGTAATCATTCAGTTGGATTCTGGATGACAATCAGGAAATAGTCTTTATCTGAAGGGAAAAGAAAAAAGAAAATTATTCTTTCATTGCTGATATTTGTTCACAGAAAGAGTAAATTTCAACATTTTTCACATMCCTCTGATGCGCTGTGGGAACTCCACTGCCCTGACATTCATTCTCAATAAGCAGAACAGGCTCCACGTTTTTGCTAATTTATTTTATGGGTTTTACTGAGAAAAACTCTCAGCTTTAGAAACTGCACGTTACCAAGGCAGCTGAATTTAACCCAGTTTGTGCCAGGAAACAGTAACTGGCACATGCAACACTGGTACAAGGCAGTCACTGCCCTTCTCTCACAGGCACACTGGGGGCTACAGTTTTTCCTGGAGCAACGCTTATTCCTCCCTTTCCATCCTTCCTGTGGAAATCCAAGGCTGCCTCAGCATGAACCAGAGCCTGTGTTAAGATCGGCCCAACTCACCCCTGCCTGGGGGAACTGCCATTCCCTGTTCAGCCTCTGCAGCAGCCCCATCCCAGCAGGGAGAATGCAGGGACAATTCCTGCCACATAAGGGACCTGCACTCATTTTGCCACTTCCCGGYTTGGAATTCAATGAAATACTGAGGATGTTCTGAAAAGAAGGCTGCTGTTGCTGCTGTATTCCACAGCTCACGATTACAGGTACAATGTGCTCTAATACTTTTCCCAGAACTGGAAAATCAGGACTGTTGTGTTTTATTACTCAGTCCACAGTTCTGAATGGAARTTGCTCTCAAAACATATTCTTTTCCAAATCCTGGGGTTTTATACTGAAAAACAAAGCATGAGAGGGTGCAGTACACACTCAAGAGTTATCTAATACCTTCTACTTTGATCAACACAAAATGAGGGAAGGGATTTGCCACATTCCAACATGACAAAGCAAACTTAGGTCAACGATAAAGCTTTCAACTCCCCAGAATGAGGAACAGCCTCTTGGAAAGAAGGGATTATCCAATGTGAGCACAAGCAGCAGGCAGACTTCTCTCAGGCTGACAGTGTCAGAAAACAATCCTGCTGGACCCCTGATTGCAGCTTTCACCCTGCTCTCTCACCTGGGGCAACCATGATTTCATTTTTCTTGGAGCGGATTCGCAGGAATGTGAGGTCGTTCTGGGGATCGATGTCCCGCACGGTGCTCCTGGCCTTCAAGATGAAGCTGTGCATCAGGCCGGCGTACTGGATGGTGGTGGTGTTGTCTATGGTGCTCTTGATGGGAATACCTGCAGAACAGGGACAGCAAGGCTCAAACCTCCACAACCAAATCTGCACTAGCAATCAGCAGGTCCAACCTCAGTGGTCACTGCACCAGGGGTAAGGAGAGGTCTCCTTGAAGGCAAGAGGAAAAYATGAACAAAAACCAAGATGTGAAAAAGCTGAGACCTGGAACCACAAGTGCAGCTGAGGACTGTTTACCTCTAGTATCATCASAGCTTTAGTTTTGCATTTTGAGAGTTAGAAACAGACATAAATCGTAGCAAAACTAATTATCTGTAGAGGAGAGAGGAAATACCAATATTGCAKTTTTTTCTCCTGACTGGGGACACTTTTTCCTTTCTGAGAAGTTCCCAAATATCAGTTAAATGAGATGCAAGTAGGTCAGGCTGGGATCAGTGATCACRGAGGACATCAACTGCTGCATCACACAGCTCCAAGGCTGAGGCTCCAACATCCAGCTGTAAGAGGTGGTGCAGTCCTTGGAGGTCCCRGGTTCAGTGATCACCAGCCAGGAGGGCAGACATGCTGCTCAGCCAGAGCTTTCCCTCCCTTACACTTGAGCCACCCATTAGATCTGTTTCCCCACCAAAGGCCAGTGAAACCCCAGCTCATGTCAGAACACAACAGCCAAGTACCAAACTCTGCAGGGCARAACCAGGTGTGTGCTCAGTCACTGCAGCTTCAGCACAGAGAGCAAAACCCACTCACTGTCATGGAAAAGCAGTGAGCAGGRGCCAAGCTGCATGATCTGATCCTCAGGATATTCACATGGAGCTACTATCATCTTTCCTAAGGATTATTTATTCAATTTTAACTGAAAATCATACTGTTTTAAGATGCTGGGCTGTTCACAGTGCATTCAGAGTGTCCTGAAGAAGTTTCTCTGTTGGACCCTTCAGAGAGTCCAAAAAGAGGTAACTTGCTGATGAGTTCCATGAGGCCACAAGCACAAGACAGTGCTAAAGAACTGGAGTGTGCCAGGTCAGCAGTGTTCAGGACAGGCCCTGCAGCAAGATTTACATCTCATGAGAGCCTCAGTGCTACTGCTAAAGGTATTCACAGACCCGGTCTCCAACACTAGCCTAACTCAAATATTTTGATGCTTTTGTAAATTATTTTAATTTATTTCCTAAAATAATAAAGTGAACGTGTAGAAATGGGAATCCAATTTTCTCTTGCAGCCTGGCTACTGTCTGTCACCTTGGGCTCCAGGAAAACCTCTCCCAAAGCCAGACTCTGAGCTAAGTGCAAGCAGTATGAACAAAGCCAGACTCTGAGCTAAGTGCAAGCAGTATGAACATCAGCACTCCCAGCACTGGCTGGAGTAAGGGATAGGTGAGAAAAGCGAGGCTGACACAGCACCTTCTGAATTCACCACGATGATTCCCTGCACTCCCTTCTGGCTCTGGATTCGCTTCAGCGTTTCCTCCACCTCAGCCTGCAAGAGAAAGCACAAATCAAYACAGGGTTACAGCTGCTCTTTGCCTCCCACCAAAGCTTTGGGATAATGTGGCCAAAAACAAAATTGCACAGGGATGATTGAACAGGCACTGCCTCCTCGGGTCTGTACAGCCAAGTGTCTGYACTTTGGTGCCACTTTTCTGTTATTTTCCATCTGCCTTTGTTCATCACTCATCTGTGATTATCATCYTAGAGCTCCCCTCTCTCCTCCCCAAGCCTCCTGCTTAAGGCTTGCAGCTGGAAGCTGCAGACTGCAACAATTTAGGTGTCAAACAAAAATAGTCTTTGAAAATCCACATRGATTTTATGAAAAAAAGTAGAAAAGAGATACATTGTGTGTGCCAAGATGACCTTCCCTTTTATCAAATGAATGCCAASAGCAATTACAAATAAAAGAAGTGAGGGAAAAACAAGGAATGAACACTATTTGTTTATAATTCTGGGGATAGCTGCAAGGCTGTAACCACTACCAATAATTTACAACTTAATAAAGAAAAAATGCAAATGCAGGCCAAGGTAATAGTCCTTTGTCTTCTCTATAAAAACCATCAAAGGAGGTTTCAGAACCTTCTGCGCAACTTCCATCAAAAGGTAACTATGGGATCTGTAGTAAGGTGGGAAACCCTCAGCACCTGAGCTGCTTTCCACAGCTGGGTGAGTATTTGGCATTTTTTATTCCAATTAAAGGAAATAGAAACAAACAACATCTTTCAGATCCTGCAAGGCAGAGTCCCACAGAAATGATTCAGGAGGGGAGACAGGAATCACCTGAACCAGGACAGGTGAGACCTGTGTGGGGCATTTGGCCAAGAGTAAGTGGTTCCCTGGGCACCTGGAACAAACATCTCCAGCTCCTCCCACAGCAAACAGAGAGAGCACAAGCCCTGTTCCCTGGAAAGAGACCTTGTCCATCAACACAACACAACAAAACAAAACAAAACACAACACCAGCCCAGCCCCAGCACTATCAGCACTTTCCTCAGAGTGCTGCTGGTAACATGACCTGTGGCTCCTAAGAGATGGGACCACCTGAGCTGCTCTTTGTGAAGCAGAAGTTTTCTGTGTGATCCAGCACAGAAAAATTCAAGCACTTTCAACAAAACTCCTGATAATATCTCAGTGTTGGACTATTCTCACATGGAAGACAAGGGAAGTGAAACTAAGAACAAGGTGTACAAATGCTGAGAAATTATAGTGGCAAACTGTTAAATCTATTAAGAAATTAAGGACTAATTTCCTGCCTTCTTACTAGCACTATTTAAGTCTTGATTAAATATTTTCCTTCACAGGACCTTAACMAATCTTTTCAGATTCAAAGCAGCATCCATAAAGAAGGAAAGCAGTTTTTAATTTCCTCTAACACCATCAGCTGATCTAACTCATAGGTGCTCTGRCAGTTCACTGCTACTGATGTGGGAAGATCCTACTCCTCCTATTTTCACCCTGGGGCTTGTCAAGCACCTCTGCAAGCCATTTGCAGTTCACCCCACTAACAAAAACATAACTGACAAAAATGTTATATATTTAATTCATGAAACACGCAAACTCCATTTTAACAAAGGRCTGAACAACTGCAAGAGATAGTATATGGAGAAAGAGAGATGATACATTTTGAAAAAGGAGAATAAACACTCCCTCATCACCATTTTGCTGCTGAATACTCTTTGCTATATGTACAACAGCAGCCTTTGTCTTCCTGTTTTCATCTGGAATACCTGAACTCCTACGTTTGCCTAAAAAATWCATCTTATTAGATAATTTTAATCTTCCATCTACAGCTTCAGTCAGCATTTATTTCTTCACAAATGTTGACATGTATTTTGATCTCCAATTTCATCAACATACAACAGCCAACAACGCATCTGAGMAGGGAGAAACCTCCAACACAATCACAACAGGAGGAATACAGCACAGGTTATTAAACAGCCAAACCCAGTCTCTTTTTCCGGACTGCTTCCAGCTTTAGGGATGTGCCCTGGCAGCCGCAGGAAATGAAGGTTTGGGAGTGAGTATTTGCCCAGCACAGGGCCGGGCTGGATCGGGTGAAGGTTTGGCCTCTCCCCGCAGAGCCTCAGGGCCGGGCAGGGCCGCTGGAGCCCCTCGGACCCGCCGGGGGACCCCCGGCTCGGTCACAGCGAGCCCCAGCACCGCTCAAACACGGCCCCGCCCGAGCAATGMCACAGAACCCGACACGAACCGAACCGGGCCGGGGGCTCCCAGACCCGCACAGTCCCCGGGGCCCGCAGCGGGGTCTCGCTTTTAGCCGGGCCCCGCCCGCACGGCAGCGCCTGTGCCTGAGGGGACGCGGGGCCGGGCACCGGGACCGTACCGGGCCAGCCCCGCCCCACCCGGCCGCAGGATCCCCCGAGGGCTGGGGGCACAGAGACCCCCGGATCCCCCGAGGGCTGGGGGCACAGAGACCCCCGGATCCCCCGAGGACTGGGGGCACAGAGACCCCCAGCGCGGCCCCACCCGGCCCCGGCCCGGCCTCACCCACCATGGTCGAGCCGCCGCCCCGTCTCGGCCCCGGCGCTGCCCCGGAAGCGCTTCCAACGCGGGGCGGGGCCGCTCCGGGGACACCGCCCCGAACCCCCAAATCCCTCCGAACCGCCCCAATCGCTCCCAACCTCCCCCAAAGCCTCGAGGCCGCTGCCGGGGACTCGGCGGGTCGCTGATCTCGCATTAGGGACATCAGCGGGAACCCCCAGCCTTGCACTACCTGAAAGGGATTTACAGGAAAGGTTGGGCAGGTCTATTTACAAGACCCTGGAGTGGCAGGACCAGGAATTGGTTCACAGTGAAAGAGAACAGGCTTAGATTAGAGATTAGGAAGGAATTGTTCCCTGTGAGGGAGGTGAGACCCTGGCACAGGGTGCCCAGAGAAGCTGAGGCTGCCCCTGGATCCCTGGCAGTGCCCAAGGCCAGGCTGGACATTGGAGCAGCCTGGGACAGTGGAAGATGTCTCTGCCCGTGGCAGGATGTGGCACTGGATGAGCTTTAAGGTTCTGTCCAACCCAAACCCAAATTTCTGTGAGTCCATGATAATAGGCGAGGGGAGTTCTTCGTCCCCACAAATGACCATGTCCCCTCAGCTGCTGCCGGAGCCCCCCYGGACAGGAGCAGAGCCACTCCAGGGCACGGGGCACCCTAAAACCCTGGGACGTCCCTGCCACAGCCCCGGGGATCCGTGTCCTGAGGGTAACAGCATCTGCTGCCCCTGCCAATAAGAAAGGATGAGCTCTCAGCTCCCTTGGGAAAGGACTGGGGATGACCCCCAGTCTGGTGGCAAAACAAAATAATGTGCTGAAGAACTGCATCCTGCATGACCCCAGCTAGGTTCTACACACACAACAGCAGTATTCGGGACTTTGCCCCTGTCCCCAGGCCCTGCTAGAAGTGGGACAGTCCCAGAATGGTTTGAGTGGGAAGGGACCTTTAAAACCCATCCCATCCCACCCCCTGCCATGGCAGGGACACCTTCCACTGTCCCAGGCTGCTCCCAGCCCCGTCCAGCCTGGCCTTGGGCACTGCCAGGGATCCAGGGGCAGCCACAGCTTCTCTGGGCACCCTGTGCCAGGGCCWSYCCACCCTCMCAGGGAACAATTCCTTCCCAATATCCCATCTAACCCTACTCTCAGTCAGTTTGGATGCCCTTTCTTTCAGCACTGGGACACCACAATCTGCAAACAGACATGGCTCACGCTGAGCTCGCACAGCACTCACACGTATTTGCTGGGTAAAATGTAAAACATGCCCTCACAAAGTGTTTCTGGATTTTTTTTTTCTCTTTGAAAGCCAGGATTTGGCACAGCAAGTAAACTCACTGGCCCTTCCAATCTGTCAGGGGCTACTTTCTCCCTAGAGAAAATGACTTCTCCAAYGAGTCCTGTCATTTGTGCGCTGCTGGGCTGACAGGTTGAGACTGGATATAGGATCAGGCATTGCCAGAGATCAGGAAAAAAAAGTCCTTTAGGATCCAAGAGATACTGTTTCCTCTTCTTGTGGCTATTTACAGCTCTGTAACTTAATTTCAGTTAAATTCTAATCTCTCTTACCAGTCCAGCAACAAATTTTACAGCTTGGCTACAGCCAAGTGGTTTTGCCACTTCTAGTGGCAGATTTAACTTCTAGTCCCAGCTGWGATGGTATGATTTGGGCAATAGTGAGGATGTGGTGGATAATTTGGGCAATAGTAAACAGTGCACAGCTGCCATCAGAYACCCAAACCAACCATTCCCATCCTGCCATGAACAAAACCAACACCCACACCCAGGGCWGGTGCTGACATTAGCACCATCATCATCAAAGCCAACAGAAAAAAACCTGAGATGTACATTTATCATACATTGCATTGTGATTATTTKTCACCTTTTTAAAATAAACTCCAGCTGTATGTGAAATAACCTTGTAGCTGTACTCTTATAAAGCTGCTCAAAGCAGTGTCTAATTTTGGCTTTACACAACTCACTAGAATGCTTTTAAGTGGTTCAATCCAAAGCTTGGAAGAGGCAACTCCACACCAACGTCCCTGCTGCAGAAAAAGGCAGTTGTAACTGCACATATTTGCCTGGCATGGGAAATGATCACTGGGATTTACTGCCACTGACAAAACTGTGTTAACTGAGACTGTGGGAACACCTTGGAGAACCCAGTGGGAAGGTCAGCAGCAGGGAATATCACCACCTGCAGCAGGGAAGGATGACCACTTCAGGGATCAYTTGACCAAAGTGGACATAACCAGATCCCCGAGACAGAATTAACAAGGTTGGAAAAGACCTYTGAGACCATMAAGTCCAACCTGTGACCTAATGGGATGTGTCCCTGTCAGCACTGAGGGAACTGGAACATCACTGCAAAGCCCATCTCAGCTTTGGGAGATGGGAAAGCTGGTGGCCAGCAGGAGAAGTCCTGATGACAGGAAGAATCTAAATGCCACCTTCGCCCCTTCAAGGAGGATCAGGGACATTGCAAAGCTGTGGTCTCAGTGGAGCTTTTCCCCCCTCCTCTGTGGCATTCTGTCAATCCTAACCACTTGCAATGTCATTCCTCATTTCTGTTATCYCTACAACAGTGCTACAAGGAGATGTTACAGCTGTGGCTCCTGCAGAACCTCCCTCCAGCCCATCTCCCTCAAGGCTCAGCAGCCTCACAGCCCTCACTAGCTYCTCAGGGCAGCATCCACAAGCACTAAAAATCCAGGAATTGTGCCCAAAATCTCCTGCTCAATTTCCAATGTGATAATAAGGGCAGAAGAGGTCTCAGGAAAGAACCCTTTCTTTCCAGGAGGATTCTTTAGAAAAGTCCCAGCAGTCCGACCCTCACCCCCAGGAGCACATGTGGATATTCCATCACACACAAGGAATAAGGACCRGACCACCAGCTCTTTAAGTAGTTTTATAAAAGTATTTGACTTACTGAGATACTGTTACAGTTACCTGAGTATTTGAAATTACAATGCAAGGAAATATCAACAATGAATTTCAGTACAATATTTTACAATCCAGTGCTGCTGATCCCAGTTTCTACACGAGTTCACTAGAGCACATATACACAAACAGTGATTCTTGGAGAAAATTAAAAGACATCACAAAAAAGGGGGCTGGAGATACCAATATAACAGAGTTGAGATTACAAATCCAGTGCAGCATGTAATAAAATGAAAAAAAAAAAAGAACCCAAGTATTTTATTTTTCTCAGAAAAATTAAAAAATTATGTTTGTTTTTAAAAACACAAGCAATTGGATTTAAAAAAAACCCCAAACTTCCACACTAGATAAAGACATGATGTATTTACTGTGCATGTCATTAGTGTATGAACAGTTCCTGAGCTACTCATAACAATAAGGCTTTGTTAATTCTCAGCATTTCATTTTCTCACATCATTTTCATGAAGGAAAATTCTAAATAAAATTTAATACGTGGTAATTAGGATCAACTGACAGATGCATTTAAGTGTGCATTTGTGACATACTATGAATTTATGCAGCTCAGGTTGCTAAAACAGTTGAAGCAGTAGGAGACAAATTCATTAATCTCTGCTGAAAATCTCACTTGTAAATCCAATGCACAAAAGCCTGTTATCTGGGATAGCAGCTGCTCTGGGCTCATCCCTGTATTGCTTCACCAGATCCCCAGAAAGAACTAAAAAGTGCACCAGTGGCTTGTATTAGTTCCTTTTAATTTCTACACAACATGCTGTAAAAATTGAACAGATTTGTTAGCATTCACTAGTCAAACACCTAAGGTATCAGAACTTGTACCTTCAGTAATATTGCCAATTTAACACTGCAAAATTGCTTTAAACTTTTTGTATTTGGCCAAATCCAACATTTCACTATTATTTTTCCCCCTCAATGAATTTTTTTATTTGCAATATTTTTWAATCATATCTGGTGCTTGGGATATCCAGCCCCCTTTCTCCCATCCTGGTACAGCAGAAAAGACATATAAACATGCCATTTAAATTAAAGAAACAATGGAATAAGTGGAATCCTGGACATCAAAAATATATACAAGCAGGTACGTTCTTCCTGAACTAAACATTTCAACCATAAAAATATTCAACAGCCAAACCCTATAGAACTAGGGTTAAGGCTATTTCAATTATAACTATTCTTTATTTTAAAAATATAGGGCTGACAGCCTTTTGGGTGATATTTATACATGAACAATAGTTCTAGGTTCCCTATGTGAATTGTAAAGCAATATGCAGAACATAGACTATTTTTCATAGCTTAATCTTGCATTATCTTGCTTAATTTAATCTCTCTTGTAAATATGTTAGATAACTACATTTCATTGTAAGAATTAATATAAACAGAAAATATATATAAGGCTTTTTTATTTTTTCTCCTTGTGAGCTGTGTACTGGAATAGATCCAAATGTTGTGGAAGTTGGCAAATCTCCTCCCAGTCACACCTGAAGGTRAATTCTCACCATCAGTGAAACTTTAAACAAGGGGCATTTCTGTATCATCAACTCTCCCCGGGCCTTCTTTCAGTTAAGCCTGACAAGTCCAACCCTCCTGCCTTCCCAAAGCATTCACCACTGAGACCTGATGCACTTGTGAAGTCAGTTAAAACCTGTAGTGTCTTTGTTCTTCTTAAGTCTAAAACAGTTYTTCCCTCTTGCAGTTTAGATGGATGAGACAGCAGGAAAGAAATACTCTTTTCCAGACTGAAGGTTAGTTTTACACTTTCCCACTGTTCTGCCTCAGCTCTGTCATCTCAAAGAGTCTTAAATGCAGCTCCTGGCCCAGTGCTCTGAGCTGCAGGTTTGCTTTAATACGTGCTACATGTTATTTCAAGTGTCACATCTCTCACTGTGGCTTAACAGCCCATTTCATTGGTGTCTGCCTTCCTCCCTTCAGGGGAAGGGAARAGGGCTGACCAGACCCAAAAAGTGCATTCAGTCTAAGGGAGAAGTAAAATGCAAAATGTTCTTGTAAACCAGAGAAGAATTAACAGATTCTAAAAGGAAATAAAAGGTGGTGTTAATCCAACAGGAACTCGCTACAAAAGTTACTAGCTGTAAGCAGCTTAAKGTCAATTAGCTTAGATATCTCCCCAAAACCTTCAGTTTCAAACTTTATAGAACTATTTATTTACTGATGCTCCAGCTTTTCAAAAACCTGCAACCCATGTCTGAACTCTCTAGTCCTCTTGGCCTCAGCCAGTCTCACA